GCCTAGTCAAGAAGTGTTTTCGAAGGGTCTCTCTATTAGAAACCTGAAATTCGTTGACGAGAGGGTAAGAGTGTGTGAGTTCAAAGAAGTAGTAGCTAAAACGACGTGTTTCGACTCGGTTATGGGTCTTGTCAAAAGGTTTGGGTGTTCTGGTCGAATTTTCGTTTCTATTGTTGTTGGGCATTCATTGATCCTGGCAGCCGTTTGAATGTTAGGCGTCATCTTTGGGAATCTTAATGTGAATGCAGAATTATTGGAATTTTTTGGGAGGTAAACAGATGAGCGAGATGGAAAGGTTGTGAGTTGATCATTGATGTAGATATTTTTACTTGTCTGAATAGCACCTATGAAGTGCTAGGTTGAGAACTGATTAGATACAAAGAGAATATATATGAATGCGGGTATCTTCCTAGTCTAACGTGTATTATGATGAACTCCGCTGATACTTATGGGATTATCGGTGATAGTTATTCTATGATTTTTAAGATTGTTGTATTCGCACTTAGCATGTGTAACGTGTGAAATGGTGGGATCATCGTTGTTGGTTTCGGCTGTTGGATGCTTGCATCGACTCAAGACTGTTATCTCATGTGAAATGTTATTTGTGTGGATCTCTCAGAGAAATAGAGTGATGTTTCAAGCATAGAATGAAAGAATAGGTTCACTATACTTATAATCGAATAGCGTGCGTGTTATGTACTATAGAGTTCTATCGGTTATAATGAACATTATCATTTGGGATTATGTTTTATTTTGTTTTCATTTTGTTTGTATACGTTTAAACCCTCGAAGAGTCGTAGCGCTGAGTTACCGTAAAGAAAGACGAAGAAGTTTTACATTATATATGATCGTGTTGTTCTAATAAATAGAGACATAAACAGAGCTAGAATCAGTATAACACATAGAGAAAACAAACACAAAAAATAACGATGCACGAAAAGATAACAGTTCTTTTTGAATCATTGAGTGAACTGGAAATGTGCAGAAATTTGAAAGATATAATAAGAAATAACAATAAAATTGTTGGATCTAACACTTACAATGTCTTGATCGATGACATGAGATAACTTGGCGACAGCCGAACAATCATTCGTTGCATAAGTGCTCATGACTTCAATTTTTGCATTGTATCTTTGTGGTTCATGAGGACAATATAGATCACGATTCTGTACATTCAATGTTTCACTTTTATCAAGAAATTCATCGAATGTATTAGCAATAGTTGCTTGTAGTTTCCATTGCTGATTACCAATTGGATCATATTCATGTAATTATTTATACCACAGTTTAATTGGTTTTTGAATGATATCTAATGTAAAGAGACCATAATGAACAAAACTCGATTATTCTTTTTTGGCATCACCCATGAATATAGAACAATTCTATCGTTTTCGGCAAAATGATGTTTTCCTCAATGAGTCGAGGAAAGTTACTCAACATTTTGCTATTAAAAGCAACATTTCGAGCGATAGCTGCTCAAAAATAAATCTTTGCTAAAAATGGACGAGATTTTTAAGATGTCTATCGTCTTGAAGACTAAATAAATTCATTTTGTAGTAAAATTTTGCCGAAGCGAAAGCTTTTTGAAATTTCGATACTATTTGTTTTGCTCAAAACAGTTGTTTGGCTTGAAACTATAACAAATAAAGCAGCTAGACTCTTCATCTCGTTTCAATAGCTCATATAGAATTGAAAGATCGATTGATTCTGTCCAACTAGTCATAATTTGATATGCTTGCTGAATTTGATTATTTAAAACAAAGCATATATGGCAGTCAAACTATCAAGACCATTATTACATGTTGGTTATTTTGCCCTCAAGCTGATACTTTTATTTTGTTCTGTTGTCTTAATCGCACAACTCGGTCAAAGTCTACCGCAACGATAAGATCTTCTTGTGATAATATACGAATATTTAGAAATTGGAGAAAAAGTGGCGTGGTAAAAGCAAATAGCTATGTAGCATTATATAATTTGCTTATCAGTGTAATATATAATGATCCAACTATCGAATCTCAAAGTAGGCTGTGGGATGTGCATGTGAATTTTAGAAGAGCATACCACGACTGGTTTCGACCTTGCTCAAGGGTCTCCTAGGGTAACTTTGAAGACATCTATATAAAACAGATATAATCTACCCTGTTGTAAAACAATTTTTTGAACAATGTGTAGAATATTTGAAACAGCGGTACAAAAGTGCACGTGTGAGCGTGTAGAGCAATCATGATGTTATAACATTGCATCTCAGCAACGAAAATATTCAGATAGTAACCGATTCGATCCAACTGCAATTGAATCAGAAACAAACTTGAATCTATATTGTTACTTTCGGAGAAGTAATCGTCTATCGAATGAGTAGATTGACTTTGATGAGTTTTGATTGATATGTAGTTGAATTTTTATACGTTGCTTTTGTGTGTTTGTGAGTTGTCACCTTTCGATCCAACGATATTGTAAGGATGTGTTGTGAATGTATTTTCAGTATTTTTGACGAAGAATATGATGATTATTTAGAATGTGCAGAGATCAAGTCATCGACTTGTATATGAATCTGAGATTTGTTGATATATTTTATTCGATGATTTGATCATTTTTCCACACATGGTTAAGTGTTATAGATCTGAAAGGAACTAGGTTTCATTAAAGATTTGAGTAGGATTAGAAATAGTTTAGTTTTATTGAGCGAATGGTTCAGAAAATAAGATTTTTAATTGAAGCACGAACGATAAAAATCTATGATGTGGTTTGTTCATTGTTGCGTGGTGGACGAACTAAATTTTTGAAGATATTGTTTCCGTGGGTGAGTGGATTTTGTAGTTGGTTGTTGTTGCTGTTGTTGTTTATGGGTAAATGACTAGTCTGATTCAGTTTACATTCAACATAGGTGATGAAGAATGATTCGACAAGGCGTCGTAAAATGTTTGAACAGAGGTCGGGCACTAAAAGTACACGAAGTGTTCCACTGTCATCAAGCACATCTTTGAATACTCGATGTCGATATATGACTGATGGACAGTGATGATTGTCACTTTGCATAGTGGACGTTTGAGACTTGGTACCTTATTTGGAACTTTCATGTGTAATATCAGGGAATATTATTCTGTGATTTGACACAGAGAAAAGTCGTCGCCGAATGGTGGATTCGGTGTAACATCGATCAAACCTGTGATATCATGGGTGTTTATTGTTTTGCTCAATGGTAATAATACTGCTATAGATGGATGGATATTGTTTTTTCTTTCGACTTTATTGGATTTCATTGGTACAAGACACGAGTATTCTGAATGGCAATCGAGAAAGAGTTGCACGGCAGATAAACATCGAGTAGAATGTTGTCATAACCACATCGTGTCTTTGACCTTTGTTATATATAATTTGATGGTCATCAACGGATTAACAAATATATGGTTGATCAAAGGTAAAAGAAAAATATTCATTCAGGAGATTTTTTAAAAATACATTTAACGGCAGCTGTATCGATTAAAGTTTCTTGAATAATTTGATTGCTTTCTTGCTGATGATCTATTATATTCAAATGAATATTCTCAAAAAATATGCAAACACCAGTCTTTAGTATTGCTATTTACGTATGAGACATTGTGAAGAAAAAGCTTCGTCCTGACACCAATACAATCAAATTGACCAGATGAACATGTCAATGCATAGACAATATTGGTTGTATCACATGTCTGCTCATATACTTACAGCCCAACAATTGAGAATAGCTTCATATTTATTCAGAAAACGATGTGCATGCTTTGTAGAAAGCCGCACCGCCGGTTGCATTTATTGTTGTTTAAGACTACCGTGTATATGGCAACATAAACATGTTTCCCGATCACATGGTAACATACCAACATTTGCTTTGCATGTATCCATAGAAAAAAGAAAAATGAATTGACATCGATCTGAAGGTAAAATTGCAATGCTATTGATCATTCATTTGATGGGAATAGCATTAGAGTTGATTCGATGTTCATCATTGATAACACTACTTTATCAAGACATTTGTGTAAACGAACAAGATAATAATGGAAAATGTTGACATCAACATTCCACTGCCGTCTATATATATTCAAAAACATATCATACAATATATAGATAAATGACGTTTCTTCGAGATCAAAGAATCCAAACAGAACCGTCCCCAGCTTTAATTCGAATACATCATGATCTGCTTTAGATAAACGACGTTGACTTTCATGTTCAGTAAGTAGATGATTAACGAAAATATGCTTTCAATGCAAGGTAAAAAGAAAGACTTAAATATTGTTCATACTTGGAATAGTAGCCAAAAGAGGGGAAGAATAACGCAGATATGTACGATTATTTGCTATTCGTATAAGTACACGAGGAAATGTAGGTAAAATATTTAGACGTGCACGATAATTTTACTGTATCGTACGTTATCATTGTCGTCGATTGATTTTTGGTGTGGGTGTAAATATCGATCTTCTCTTCATCCACACCTCACACACTCATATAAACACATCCACACCTACACTCCTTCTCAGTCTGTATATCAAACTCACCTCATACCTGCACTTCACACCCATACCCCATTCAAATGAGATATCTACATTCTTGGTCACATATGGTAATCAATTTCATTTATCTAGAATCGTTAAATAGTCTTTGACAGCATCGTTTCGTGGAACTCACATCTTTTTTCGAAGAAAATAGTGAGTGTAAGTTTTAAGGCGAAGTTTTGCGCCCTTCTTCTCCATTACAGACACCTAGCAATGTAGGCCTCACTATAGACCTTAGCCACTGATTTTACATTTTTTTGAGTATTCTAGCTTATGTGAAATATATGAGTTCCACATTTCAGTCCTAAAAAAGCTGCGCTAACAAGCTTTTTCTGCATCTTCTACATGTCCCTTTGTATCTTCTACATATCGGATTTCATGGATATCTGACACTTATCTTGATACTGCTAAATTAATCACGTTCAGTTCATAGATTGCAACAGTACTGTGTACAACGAATCAAATAATACAATGTTTGCACGTGAAAATAAAATTATAGGTAAATATTTTTTCTTATTTTTTAAATAATTAATTTTAATTTTCGTATTTGTATAGTTATTGCGTTGAATATGAAAGAAAACAACATCAAAATCTTATTAAATATCTATTTAAGAAAATTTTCATGAGTAAATAAATTTTTATTTCATTGATAATTGTTTTGATGGAAATATCTTTTTAATTAAATTTAAATAAAATAGAATTTAATATGAAACATCTTCATTTGTAACAAACTGATTTTCAATGAAATATTGATTACTTACAATCATATTGTTATAAAAATTTTGTTGGATAATATGTGAAACTTTGTACATGTTCATCGCCACAAGAGCAACGAATTGATTTATATGATCATATTGTTCAATATATAATGAAACAAAATTATTTAAATTTTCAAATAATAACATAAACATTATATTTTGATCGACATTTATTCGTATTAATTGAAGACTAAGAATGGTTTCATTCTACATGAATTAATCATATTGAGGTCTTTTTCTGACTTCTTTTATTATCAGATAATTGATAACAAAGATCAGTATTTGTTTTTATTGATATTTGATTAAAATTTAATTTAGATTTATTATTTGATATTCATCTAAAACCAAATGCAATTCATTCATTATTATTACATTTATATATTGACAATAGACAACGACAAAGTAATGACCACGATGAAGACAGGTGAAGAATTTATTATTGCATGAATTTGTTCGTCTTTTATCAACAGGAAACATATGAACGTGGGGTTTGGCAAGTGTGTGAGGCGATGAGTGACACTCTTCTACTCAATCACACTCAATAGACTTTGGCATCCTTAACCCACTACTATCATCACACACCTCGTCCATCCTAGGCGCTGATCCTCATGCACATCCTTATTTTGGAGAAAAACTTTTTTCTTGTTTCATAAAATATAAATGTGGAAACCTCTAATTGGGGATCAATCAGAGCGTGGACAAAAACAGAACCAGTTTCTGTTTAATTATCTTTGCGTTAGGTGGGTTAGCCTTCTTATTTCTTTATGTTTTATATACCATTTTGTAGCTCGTGAAATTCTCTATCGAATAGTATATAATAGTTGGGGTTTTATTTGACTATGATAGGAAAAGTTGTTCACGAAAACGGGAAGGGGTCGATTTTCGCATAGGAAGGGATAGGGAAAAATGACTATTTTTGCAATAACTCAGGAACGGCTTGGCCAATCATTCTCATCTTCGAACTCGAACGAGATATTGTTGAAACTAAACTGTGCAAAAAATTTCATCGCGATCTGACTTTCCTTTCAAAAGTTATCATGTAAATGGCCGGACGGACATACTGACCGATTCTAGAGTGTACTCACTTTTTGAGTACACAAAAACAAAATTGTTATAGTCATAATATTTTAAAAGGCAAAAAATAAATTTAGGAATAGTAATTTATTGAAACTCATTCTTCACGAATAATATGAAGGAGAAAAGGTTCCCCATTCATTATTTTTTTTAGATGTGATATGTGTCAAAGATCAGCAGGAGCTTTTTTTTATTACCCTATATGTATTCTTTACTTTGATCATATTCATATTACTGTTCATTCACATCACATGCATGATTGACGACAGTAATGTATTACCGCACTCTTTAGAGTGCTACACATAATATATAGTGTTTCATACTGAAAGGATGAAAAAGAAAAAAACTCAAAATGAACATATCGAAGGTTGTTTGATCATATTCTCTTTCATACGGAACGGTGAACATAACGCATAATATTCACTCGTGTGTTGATGCATTTTCATCATTATCTGAACCTATACGACAAGAAATAAACGATTCAACGATAAGTAATCTAATGGTGAAAGTGCACGTCGTTTATTGTCGCGGATGAAGTTACTGGAGCAAGTTTCAGAAGTTCAACTATGAACTGAAGAAAACTTGCTCCGATAGGATAATTGACATTGTAATAGTCTTTATGTATGTTTCTTTTGAATTTATTTTCTTGCTTGTGTTCTAGACTGGTATGCCGACATCAGTCCCATCAGGAATGTTCGAAGTGTTTGTTAATGGACAACTGATCCATTCTAAAAGGGTAAGAAGTATTTATTTATCTGCATTCGAAATTATCTATTGTTTGTTTTCAAAGGCTGGCCAAGGCTTTCCAGATACACTAGATAAAATTAGATGGATTTGCAAAGCTATAAAAGAAACCAATTGAATTATAGCAATTAGTGAATTAAAACGACTTGAAAGCAGTATTGGTAAATGTTTCTTTCAACCTACGATGTAAAATTGAATTGTTTATGTTTTTGTTCAATGAATAGAGTGTGATCTTGTAATGATTGAATGCAGCTACTGGCTCACCATCGATGATGTTCTATGTGATAAAGCTGCTACAAAGTCCATAGTACTGATTGAGTCATGAATGGTAGTTCCATGTCAATCATTGCACAACATCACAATCATACTTTGGACTTGATTTCTTTTTTTCTTTCTTGAATAATATAGTTTCATTATATTCATTAAAGGAGAAACATTAATAAATGCCGTAGTCAAAAATCATGAAGTATTTAAATAATAGAAAAAAGGAATTTCTTTATTGAAAACTATTCACAACAGTATCAGTGGTGATTTTCTCCTAATGATGATAACATTAAGATGCATGTATTTATGACCAAAACATTGTTCACCATTTATTTATATGAAAATATTCGAATACAGAAATACTTCCTCATCATCGAACATCCGTATTCAATTAATAGTGCTAGTCGCCAATCAAAGAATGTAATGTATTGAAAACTCAATCTTTGTGTACAGCTTTGATTAATAATAATAACTTCGACAGCATAATATCTCTTTTATGGTAAAAACTTAGGTAGAACCGAGTACTAAATTGCGAAGTTGTAAGTTTAAAAAGCTCTATATGAGATTATTCTAGTTTTTCTAGAATACTTTCATCACGACTTGGTGATCCAAGCAGAAAGATCAATTAATCTATCAGTTGTTACAATTACATTTAAATAGAAGTGTACTGCTACGCAAGCGAAGTCAATCCCTATTGCAAACATTTTTTACAGTAAGAAAATGCTGTCAAAGTACTGTCGCGGTTGTTACAATGGTAAACGCTTGTCGGATAGATGGTACGACGTCGTCAAAGTTAAGAAGAACTTTGTTTTCTTGTTATGTTTTACCTCTTTTCATTTGGGTATTTGCTATCTTTCCACTATTCACTCAAAAACAAAGAAATGATCTTTCACATTTCTATTACACCTGTTTAAAGAGAGTTCTGTATAGTTGGCAGTGGAACGATGTTTTTTTTGCTTATTTGTTTCACGAGATTCCATTTGAAGATAGATGTTTGAAATATTGGGAAAAGTATTTAGCAACTCTATCTGACTCTAAAGATAGAATGCTCTGAATAGAACAAATGAATTTGAATGAGTTTAGAAGGGCCTGGGTGGAAAAAGAGAATCCTATTCAATGCTTAAGAATGTCAAAAAGATTTGTTGAATACACCTCGGTTCTGGAAAAAGCGGTGGAGTGGTGTGCTGAGAACTCAGCGCAACATTCTGTACCTGAATTTAACTGGTCTGATCTAGTGGCGTTAAAGGAATTCCCTGAAACATTCTGAGGTTTTATGTTCCCATGGCTTTCTTCTTTTCATTCACCAAAATTTTTTTTTCTTTCTGCTTCTCTTTTCGTGTGTGGAACTTTTACTTTGTGTTTTTCTCTCATTAGTCTATTCATGTAACTCAATTAGAAGAACTTCGTCTTTCTTTTTTTTTTCTTTATATATTTCTCAGTACTATTTACGTTGTAAATTGTTAATCTATATCGTTATACATCACCGTGTATCTTGTATCTCTTTATTGATCTATTCATTTTTTTTCTTCTTTTACTCTTTTTGGATTGGGTACTGATAGGACCCCACAGGGGTCGCCAGTCTTCTACTCGCAAAAAAAAGAAAGAAAAGTACCGTCGCGGTTGTTGCAAAAAACTCAAATACAACGACCCCATTAGAAATATATGCGATGCATCAGACTTTGCTTTAGTTAATGCAAATGTTATTATTTAAATTCCGAGCTTAATAGCTCGAACAGCCACTATTTGGTCGATAAGAGTTGCAGGAGTGATTCTAAGCAGAGTGAAAGTAAAGTGTGTGGATGTGATTAAGGTGAGAGAGAGAAGATGAAATTTTTCTTTTCATTCACACTCATACCTACCATCATAAATACCTATGAACATCACATGCAGATCGTCACTTATCATTCAACATAAACAAATAGTTATTTGCTTATTTTTGTAGTTTGTTCTTCGAATTTGTGTGTAAAATTATTACTTAGAAGAAATTTTTCCACAGATGATCGTTTCAGTTCTTTATTCTGATTTGAAATATTTGATGTAATGAAAATGGACCAAACATTCCACTGATGCTTTCAAGAAAAGTTGTTTGCGTTAATATTCGTTTTAGGTTTTTGTTATACTTCAAGTTAGCAATAGTCCAAATAAACACAATTAAAAAATTCAATGAATCTGATCTAATTCATGACATCATTTGAATGAAACGAACGAATTGATAAATAAAATGAGTTGGTTGGATTCATATCTTTTATCAATGTTCATTCAAATACAAGAATGAACGAATGAACTTGAAAGTGAAGATGTTAGAATGACGGTGAAGAGAAGAGTTATGCAAGATGTCCACTCTTATTGGTGACAACTTCATGAAGAAAGGTCGAGAGATGCGACTCAACTAAAATCATTCTCAGTGTGTTGAGAGTTGCGACATTTCAGTTTTTTTAAGTCCAGGCTTTGGAAATATTTATAATGGTTTCCGAGGAGGGTATGGGTTTGAATATTGGAGGAAGACAAGACCAACACCTACACACATAGACCAAAAGTATCTAATGTCATTCTTATAAGACAAGATATTATTCAATATCAGTTGTTGTGAACCATTAGATGAAAAGTTGTCAAAGAGTTCTCTCACTGTTCCTAGTATTATCATATATGGAATATGACAAGCTAAAAAAGAAGTCGTTACTGTTAGAAACTCTAAGAACTCTATCAGTTTCACACTATAAATCTTCCTGGAAAACTATGATAAGCTTTTTCTCGAACAAAATAGATGATTAATTGATATATTAAAACGGAATAGTTTTGACGCCTGTTAAATGTTATAATTCAGCTGCTCGACTTTTCGCTGATTAATTCAAGAATGTCAACCAGTTTCAACTTTGATGTTAATGATTGCATCGTTACGATGCAATAAATACAATGATCATGATAAGCAAACGATCGAAAATCTGGCTAAAATTTGCTCAAGATGAGGGTATGGGGTGTGGGAGCTGAGTGATAACGCATAGCTATTGGTTGTAGAGCTGATATTAACCTTCTTAAGATGTGATCTCACAATCACCAGCAAGAATCTGCCCACATAGTTACCGAGCATTCAAAAATATTGTGACATTTCACATTGAGCAGTGTTTATCAATAATCAATTTGTCAGAATTGCTGCTGGCAGTGAGCGTAGCAGATGGCTACAGTTTTCTTGTTTTTCGACTCGTATTGGCGACAATTTTGAATATTATCGCCTCTTCTAAACTTGTCACCACTCGAACAGCATAGAAGGTCATTCAAGTTAGAAGTCCGGTCAAATGATTTTGATTAACTGACATAATAAAACTCCACTAGGTCCTACTGGACCACAAAACAATGAATGTAAAAACTTGGATAGATTAATTGATTGCTTATTACTATACAGCTACAGCTCTGTTTACATGTTTAATTTCTTTTATGTCGTAGCTTTTCTAGCAACAGACAAATCAATTTCTTTTGCAACCTGAAAAATGCATATGCATACTTATCACTTACAGAGAGCGTTCGAAGAAGTATCGAATAGGAAATTGACATATAACTAAACTATTCTGTTAGATTTCTTCTCATTATGACTTAATGCGCAGCTCAGAAATAAAACAATATTCATTTTTATTAACCGAACAGTAATATGAGCGAAACCTCGCCTGAAAAATAAAACATCTCGCAAAAATAAACAATAATCGGTTCAAATTACGTGAGCGTTTATTAGATTCGACAATAAAAATTAGTGTGAAGTGGTATGATATAGATTTTTATAACATTTATAGGATCTAAACTATCTATCGTTCAGAAATAAGACACTCTTATTTCGTAATCAGAGGCTTATTTTATATTTTTGTCAAGATAATTCAAGTATATCTCTTTTCACTTCTGAATTATTTGCAAACTTCTAGGATGAAGTCACTCAGTGAAATCGTATTAATACATGTCTCATAGGAGTTTCTTTCTAACTTCTCCAAAGCTCGGCAGTTTCCTCGCTAAAATATTGTATTAATTGTAACTGCTCGTATTTATACCAATGTCCATCGAGTAGTGAAGATATATGAACAAAAAAGTTGGCCATCATAGAAGCCCACCTTCAAAATTTTGGCTTGCAAAACAAAGCAGAATCACAATGGGCTTTTTCTATTCTGTGACAGAGAGATTGACTCATGTTTCTTGCATTGTTCGTTATTGCTAATAGACTAAAAAGAAAAGAGAGCATTTTTGGTAGAAGAATTAAATAGTTCTTTAGTTTGCTGATGAGCAAAAAGCTGCTTAATGCAAAAGCCATTGCAAAAGTCTTAACTCTATTATACCACATAATCACTTGTAAATCAAGAAAACGTTTTTGTTAGAAAGAACAATGTCTGAACTGCAAATTCAATACCAGACATATTTTTTCCAGAACAAATCTAATGCAGAGGAAAAGCCTAAAATCAAACACCTATAAAAAAGTTCTTACAATGTTTTATCCAAATTGAAAAGTTTATATTTCTGAATTAGTTTGAGCTATACGAATGAATCAATTTTTGGAACAAAAATACATAAAAATTTAGGGCATCAAAAACTCTATCAATATCAGCTTTAGCAAAGTCTGTTAGATCAGTCCCTAACTCTTTAATCGAGAAAGTTAGAAAGATGAAACTTTTTGTAGAATTCAGTCTTTTCCGAGAAATATCAGTTTCCAGAAATATCAGTCATCATTTCCAAAAATTATGCATGAACTGAATTTTTTTGCGTTATTTATTCTAAATAGTTCAGATCATAAAAATTTAGTAGAGAAAATAATTCAAGAAAACATTCTCTTATCGTTGCAAAACAGTCAGAGAGTAATAACGACTCACTTTCACAATATCGTTGTAGAGAAAGCTACATTTTTTTTTAATAAAAAACCAAGAATAACTTTAATTTCTGATACACCATTGAAAAGAGCACTCTTTACGCTACAAAAATCAGCATTAAACATATTTTTTCATTTCCTCTCTGATTTAAAAAAAACTAACAAAAAATAAAAAAGTACTGTTGCTCGTTAGTGAAGTTGCAAGAACTTTTTTTTTAGGGTGC